TTGATATGCAAACTAGACACAATCAACTCAGGATTGAATAAGGACTGGGAATGGCTGAGCCATTACAAACATTGAATCTATCTCCCCTTGTAAGTATTCTCACACTTCTTATCAAACTGTCTGTACTGGGCTAGCTTGATTATCACTTCAAAAGTTTTTTTTCTCTTACTTAATTGGCCTCTCAGAGTTGGTAAGACAACTCCCACCTGTTTATGCTCTCTGTATGTGTGTATATATATCTCCTCAATATATGTTCCATTCTATATGCATCCGAAGAAGTGGGCTGTAGTCCATGAAAGCTTATGCTCTAATAAATTTGTTAGTCTCTAAGGTGCCACAAGTACTCCTGTTCTGTTTGTTTATATAGAACATCGCTGCACCACAGACACACATGTGCCCTGAAGGTGAGCCTGGAACGCTTGGCATGCCAGACGAACCGCCCTCAGCTCCCTTACATTGATGTGCAGCAATCGTTCTGCATGGGACCATAGGCTTTGGGTTCTGATATTGCCCAGGTGCACTCCTCAACCGAGTGCTGAGGGGTCCGTGACTAGCGATAGTGTAGGATGGGGGTTGGGCAAAGGGTACTCCTGTTGCAACCACCAGTGGAGAGACTCGAGAATGCAAGTGGGGAGGGTAACTATCCAGTCCAGTGGGTCCCTGCCCAGCCTGTGTACCCTTGCCAAACATGCCTGGAGGGGACTAAGGCGTAACCTGGTGTGCTGGACCACGTATGTGCAGGCCGCCATATGCCGCAACAGTTTCATGCAATTTCTGGCCATGGTTATGGGGAATCAGCGAAGATTTTTGAGACTGTCCGTGAGGTGCTTGGAAGCACAGCTCGGGCAGGAACGTCCTGGCATGTGGAGTCCACGAGAGCTCCTATGAATTCTATTCTCTGCGTCGGGGCTACGGTGGATTTGGGCACATTCAGTATGAGGCCCAGCCTGTGGAAGGTGGCCCGAGCCAGAGACACATGCTCTGCAGCCTCTTCTTGCGACTCGGCCTTGATGAGACAGTTGTCCAAGTACGGGAATACTTGCACCTGACGTTTGCGGAGGAAGGCTGTAATGACCGCCACACACTTTGTGAATACCCAGGGGGCCGCCAAGAGCCCAACCGGGAGCACCCTGAACTGGTAGTGCTGGCCGCTGACCACAAAACGAAGAAAACGTCTGTGGGCCGGTATAATGGAGATATGAAAGTACTCATCTTTCAAGTCTAGGGTGGCATACCAGTCCCCTGGATCCATGGAAGGAATGATGAAGACCAGAGAGACCATGTGAAACTTCACTTTCCTCATGAATGTGTTGAGGCCTCGCAGATCCGGGATAGGCCAGAGCCCACCCTTGGCCTTGGGGATGAGGAAATAGCGGGAGTAGAATCCCTTGCCCCTGAACTCCTGAGGAACCCCCTCCATTGCCCATAGAGCGAGGAGCGATTGCACCTCCTGCAAGCAGAGTTGTTTGTGAGAAGAGTCCCTGAAGAGGAACAGGGAAAGGCGGTGGGAGGGCAGGAGAGAACAGAATTGGATAGTATATCCCATCCGTACCATGCTCAGGACCCAGTGATCTGACATGATCTTGCACCAAGAATGGAAGACGCAGGAGAATGGATTCACAAAGGGAGGGTAAGGATTCGAGTTTGATACTGATGCGCCGTTCTCGGGCGCATCTTCAAAAGTTTGACTCTGGGCCTGGGGGCTGTTTGGCCGAACCCCGGCCTTGGCCTGAGGAGGACTGTGGCGGACGCCTCAGAGTAGAAGTGAGACAGGGGCTGAGGCTTAAATGTCTTTCTTTGGGGTGCAGGGGTGTGGATCCCCAAAGGCTTTAAAGTCACCTTCGAGTCCTTAAGGCTGTGCAGGCGAGAATCCGTATTTTGGCCAAACAGGCCTGCGCGGTCAAAGAGGAAGTCCTGGATCGTGCTTCCCCGATACCTGTAGTCATGTAATGGTAGTGGCCATAGTCCAAGCTGCCTAGTCTGCTGCGTCTAACACAGCCTGGAGGAAGGTTCTCAAGACCACTTTGCCCTCCTCGAAGAGCGCGCTAAACTCCTTGCATGAGTCTGCCAGGAGCAACTCCTGGAATTTTGCTAACGAGCTCCAGGAATTGAAAGCGGCTGAGTACCGCTTGCTGGTTGGCCACTCAAAGCTGGAGCCCCCCGGTTGAGTAGACCTTTTGGCCAAAAAATCCAGCTTCTTAATGTTCCGTGACTTTGGGGTGGGACCTGGCTGCACCTGTCACTCCTTATGATTTGCCACATCGACCACCAGAGTCCCTGGTTGGGGATGGGTGAAAAGGTGTTCGTATCCTTTCTGTGGCAAAAAATAGCTTCTCTCCACCCCTATAGTGGTGGGTGGTATTGAGTCTGGAGTCTGCCACAGCACCCTAGGAGTGTTCTCGATCATTCCTATCAGGGGCAAGGCCACCCTAGAGGATGTCCACCATCAGGACCAACTCCTCCGTGACCTCCTCTGCCTGGA